ATGGTATATTCCAATATCTACAGCAGGGCTGCCCAACCCTGGTCCTCAAGATCCCCTATCCAGCGTGTTTTACTTGTTTCCCTGCTGTTCAGCAGGTCTTCAGAAGATTGTTAATCACTCATTCATTCAAACCAGGTGTGTCAAATCAGGGAAACATCTAGACATGCAGGAAAGGAGTCCTTGAGGACCAGGGTTGAGAATCACTGTTTTAATACCTGTTATCTGATTTATTATTTACAAATAACGAATCAATGGCTTCCAGAGGCAACACTAAAAACATCAAACTAAGTCATTATTATATTTTGAAAATGTCTCATCAAGCTCAGAGAAGCTGTTGAGGTGTTGGTCAACATTTAAAGCAGTGGTTTTCAGATGTTTCCCTGATTTGACACATCTGGTTTGAATGACTGAGTGATTAACAATCTTCTGAAGACCYGCTGAATATCAGGGAAACAAGTAAAACATGCTGGATGGGAGTACTGGAGGACCAGGATTGGGCAGCCCTGATCTACAGGCTTTACACTATCAGGATATTCCTGATGTATTGGCCCTGAAAGACAAAGCACTCTGTGAATGCCTCAGATAATGGAAACTGAAAGAGAAGGAGCTGAAGGAACCAACATGGGAAGAAAAACCCCTGCATGGGATGTACCACTGACAGATGGCTGAAGTGGCTGATATGACCCAATCCTACAAATGGCTGGAGARGGCATTGTATCAGTACTTCTCCAAACATCCTGTGTTTGAAGAACTATAATAGAATTTCAGCTGACAAGTGTCTTTTGCCTATTCTTTTACTTTTTAGAAAAAAATAGTATATCAATCATGCTTCCATCCAATTTAATGTGCAATTTGAGCAATTGTTTTTAAATGTCGAAAAACAAAAGAAWGAAATATGAATCAGGCATGTTTCCATCCTCTGGCTTGGTGCAAATCAACTTGGTTACACAAAGTGTAATTACGTAAGACGTTGACATTATGCATGGCTGTAGTAAACAGGAAGTAAAGTTGCAAATTTGCGGGGATACACATCACCAGACATTGGAGAGAAGTTATCAGGAATACTTTGCTATTGGGCAAGTTGTAATTGTTCTGTTGTATCAACTATTATTTGTCATGGTACATGCTGTSTGGACACGTAGAGAAAGAAATGTAATTCTCTTCATGTTATGGGAATATCTGGGAAGACACCAMCAGTGGAAGAAGGGTCTAACTGTAGCTGCAGCAGCTGGTAGAATTATTTGGGAACAGCTGATCAACTATGTGAGGTAAATGTTCACTGCGTCAGAAGTTATTCTGCAAATGTGTTTCCATCTCCCTTTTTCTGCATTAACTCTTTTTCGGAAAATCTAAAAACCACCTCAAGTGAGTGTAAAAAATTTTTGCGAAATTGAGGACATTCTTTTTTTCTCTCACCGTTTCCATTCACCTTTTCTAATGGGATACTTCAAATGTACATAAAAAAGAAACATGGCTAATGAGTGAAGAATTCTCTCAATCCTACCACAGTTTTACCATTTTATTGATTTTAGTTTACACACTTAACACTTTTTATTCTCAGATCCATGCAAGAGGCAAGTAAACAACAGAACTGCACAGCAAGGTTATCAAAATACCAAAAACAATATTCTGACAGTAAACCTGGCACCATATCTCCCAGGGAGTAGTAAAAACAGCATAGGGCTGATGATAACTAAGTGAAACCAGGATGGGCAACACATTCTCACTCCCCCCACGTCAACATATTGACTCTTGGTCAGGTAGCCTTTTGCATCCAGTTTTGACAAGCCAGGAGCATCCCGCGCGTAAGTTTTTTACGAGATGAGGCGGAGGAGGACGAGCGCGTTGTTCTATTTTTTTTTTTACAAGAGTAGGAAATGTGCAAAACTAACCATCCCAGACCCTAAATTTAACTTTTATTAGCCATATACAGCCAATGCCTGACCACAGTACCTAAAATTAACCATTAACCCTGATCCCTCATGTTAACCATTTTTGAAAATGTAGAGAATGCGCGAGAACTAACCATCCCAGACCCTAAATTTAACCTATATTAGCTATAAACAGCCTGTCCCTGATCCCAGTATCTCAAATTAACCATTAATCCTGATCCCTCATGTTAACCTCAGACCCCCGACCCAAAGACCCCTAAGTCAGGGGTTGTTAACCTTTTTGACCTTGGGGCCCAATTTGTTGAAAATAAAGTGACACGAGGCCCAGTCACACATTACCAATGTATGGATCAAAATGATAATTATTCTAAATCTTGGTTTAATTTTTTATTGTATTTACATCATAACTAAACTATCATAACTAACTGTGGTGGCAAATGCAGAAACACGTTGGAATAATACGAGAAAAGTCTGCGTATGTGAAAATCAAATATGATTTTAATTGTGAGCAACGAACACACAGAACTGAATCAAGAAGGTTCTGCCTGCTTGCTGCTGCGGCGTCAGCAGAATACAGCCAATAATATACCGTAGGCCACACCCATGTGTCAGTTTACAACCAATCATAGATCGCCAAATGTACTGTTCAGCCAATCACAAAGCTCACACCCAAAGAGTATGGCAAAGTTCAGTGCCTTGTGAAGATATGAGAGATGAACAGTGTCAAGGGGAAAACAGATAAATAATTAGTCCATGACAATCCCTCCTCTTGAGTAACCAATACTCAAAACAAACCAAATGGAATAATTATGAAATCGTTAAACACAAATACATCACTCAACAAATATAATGGAGAAATATGGGAAAAATAGTGCAATGGATTACTGGTATAAGCTGATTTGTGCAAGGAAAAGAAAAAAAAACTAATGTGTAACAAAAAAATAACAAACAAAAGCTAAACCTAAAGTCCAAATAAATTAAACTAAAGGTAATAGCTCCACCCCCGTCTCTCTTCCTCCCGACAGTCTGGTGATGGTCACTCAAGCTGACTGATGGAACAGCTTKTCAGAAACAGCAAAAAACATACTTATTCAACGTCAGGAAAAGTAGCAACCAGCTGCTGGCCCTGAGACTCAGACTTTGAAGCTTTGTTTCAACTTTCACACCGTCTCTTCCGCAGCTGGACAGATAAAACAGCCACCCGGATCTTGAAGTCTTTTTTGCTGCTGTTCATGTTGAAAGAAATGTTGCAGGGTGGAGGGGTACAAAACACGGCACACGTGGCCCACCTTATCTCGCCGTCATGGTGCTGGGTTAAAGGGTGGACACCTGCCAGATGTTGTAGTGGACAGGGTGCGGCCACCTTCAAGCTGCTTGCTGGTGAAGATCAGCTTCTGCTGGTCAGGACGGGAGGCCTTCATTGTCCTGGATCTTGGTCTTCACATCTCAGTGCTGGCCTCAGCAAACGCTGTCCATTCTCCAAATGTTCATCATCAGTCCAGTCCTCGGGTCTCAGGTGGCCAGAGTGGATGCAGATAGAGCAGAGGGACCATCAGGAAAAACTCCCCCATCACATAAAAACAGCACACACACAAAACAACAACAACAAAAAAGGTATTATTAATGAAACAGTTCTATTTAATTCAAAACAGCATCTCAATAAAATGTCAGGCATTTGAACACTTCTTTTTTTAAAATGCCCTTTAAATGCTGCTCCTTCATTAAAAGAAACCTCAGATAAACAACAAAATAAACAATTAAAATAAAGAAAGAAGAGAGAAAAAAATTTGTGTTCACCTTGTTTTTCCTTCCACTTCCTCCAAGAAGTTAGAAAYACTTCATTTATATATTTAAATGGCATGTAAACCAGTCTTCAGGTTAGAATGAGACATTATATATTTCCCTTTTAACTCTGCATCTTATTTTAAAAGGTAAAACAAAACAAAATAAAAAACCTCTCCCTCGCCTGAGGGAAATGATCAAATCACCATTTTGAAATAAAAGCTCTGACTGAATCATTTGAAACAGAAAACAAACAAATGAGAAAAAAACAATTCAGCAAATAACATTTTTTCCCAAAAGTTTCATTAAATAAAAGTATCACTCTTTGTCTTCAAATAAAATAATTTTCACACTTCACCCTGAGTTAGTTAGGAAACGCATCCGTTTTCATGCATGTCAGGGGTTTTATGAAAAACAAACAAACAACGGGTGGTCTGCTGCGCCGTGCATACCCCCCTTTTCAAAACACAGCTTACGGCAGGGGGGGGAATGACCGGGCCCCTGGCCAAAAACCCCCACCCAGCCGCCCCTGCCAGGGGGAGGCGCTGCGCGGCCGAACACAGCAGAGCCCAAAATGCGCTCCATTAAATATTAGTGATTATTAAAAATGATTCTAAGACAGACAAACTTTTATCATAGTTCTTGATTTAACCTTTGAATCACGTTGGTCCCGGGAAAACCAACTTATAAGACTCATCACATCCGCAGACACATGTCCCCGGCTGCCAGCGCCATCTTTGTTATGTCGTGGCCTATACTCAAATGAAAAGCCTCTCTGGCCCCATTCTGCAGCCGAAAACTCGGGCATTCTCGATAGGTTTCTAAGGTTCTTCTTCTACATATTAAAAAGTTGTTAAACATCTGAGTGGTGCACTACYGCTACTAGTGGTGAGAAAGTGTATTGCACCTTATTYAAAAYCAATGTGGTCCCACGGCCCTCTGTGGCCCAAAGTTAAAAACTGTTGTTCTTTTGAGGCCCTCAAGGTGGCGTTCACAGCCCACAATTGGGCCGCGGCCCATGGGTTAAGAATCTCTGCCCTAAGTGACGCAACTTGGAAAAGCCGCGGGCAGCTAGGACGGACGCGCGGGGGGTACCCGACGCCTCACAACTGGATGCAGATGGTCCCTGCCCAAGYGTCAATAYGTTGACGAGTCCKACATGAGAATGTGTGAGGATGGGAKTGTAGACAGAAGCCAAAGCAGAACCAAACCAAATCATAACAGTTACAGTAGTAACTCACATACAAGAGAAAAGTTAGGTGGTGATACTAAATATAGGTATCCTATCAGCCTTTGTTTTATTTATTTGTTGTCTCTTTTGTTTAGGTGATAGCATTATCCAAACAGCAAGGTCTGCTTCACTCTCCTCGGTCAGAAGATGGTGGATCTATCCGGTACAGAGCCCTGACAGACCAAGACCCATCACCACCAGCCTCTACCACTGGAGCAATGGGAGGAGGAGGTTGGTGTTTCTATACACACTGTAAACCATTCAGAGCTTAGTCACAGTTAAGATAACTGACTTCCTCATGCAGTGTAAACAAGTGACAGGTTCATGTGCCTCTGTGACTCATGCAAAGTAACCCCCTCGGATAGTTTGAGACATTTTGGAGACTCCCTTGTGAATGTTGTTTACCAACTTGTCACCAGGAGTTGCAGCCCAGTTAGAATACTATTGTGTGAATGATTGATTTGTTTTCTTCATAGTCTTTTAGACCAGTAGAACATTTCATGTGACTTACTCAGCTGCATATTAAAAAAACACGGATGTGATCTAACTTTTCTTGTTTATTAATTAATTTATTTACATTTTTAGGAGGTTTGGAAAGAAGTGGCAGTATAGTTCGTGTCGAAGCCCACCCAGAGTCCAGACAAAACAAACCAGTGGTGAAGCCTCCGAGTACTGATGGAAGTGGCTCATGGCGATGGAAACCTCCAGAACAGCGTGCATCTCTGCGTCAGTCTACCTTCGCCCTGAATGACCTGAACAGACACACAGACAGCTGTGACTCTCTGAGGGACGGTGGCTCTGTGGATGGAAGGAGGAGTGTGACAGGGACTGAGTCAGAAAGCGAATGTGGTGGAGATGGAGGTGGAGGAGGTGTATACACCAACCATCCACGTGTTGTGCACCCTTTGCACCCCCTACATCCAAATCATCCAAATAATTTTCAGCATTCTAGTTTTATTCCCAACAATTCAAGTAATCCAAACTTTAACAACGTTCATCCTAATTTTAACCCCAGCTCTATCAACTCCAACATGACAATCGCTCCTCCTGCCAGCTTTGCTCCACCTTTCCACCCCCACCCTCAGGCCGTCACCACTATCAGGGTCACTCCGGTGGAGGCAACAGCTACCAGCACTGATGGAGGCTCAGACTCCCAGTCAGCGGCCTCATCCAGTCGTGAGTCCACTCTTAGGAGGAAGGGCAGCACCAACAATGCCCCAGACCGAGGTCCCACCCCTGACCTCCAAAACCACCACCGTTCCTGCGAGGAAAGCAACCGCCTTGACCATGACAGCACCAACCGTTTCCATGAAAACCTTCGAAATTTTCAAGAAAACCCCATCCAGCCCAGTTTCCCCAACAGGCAGATGCAAGGTCTATTTGGACGTCCAAGCCCAACCCCTCCTCCTACCTTACCTCGTCCCATCCTAACTCACACTCCACCTCCCAATTTTGGCTTGGCTTACAAGGAATGACATAGTTTGGTTCAACCAAGAAAACCACTGGGTGTGCTGCTGGGGGCCAACAACCAGAACTACAAAGCCCATCTACAAAGCAGGGYATGCTTCTAGTTGATATTCTAAAAGGATTTAGTCCCTCACTCAACTTCTCTGTTGGTCAGTTAGACAACAGGTAACAGACCGTTAAGAGTCCAGACATAAGGTCTACAGTCAGGGCCTTCTGTGTAAGAAGTAAGGTTTGAGTCTTTTTAAAGTGTGTTCTTAATATTTATTTGTATATTTCTAAATGAAAGACTGCTGGAAACACTAGACAGCTTTTTGTAAATGACAAACAGTTGCTAAATGGGCTAATTAAACAGCTGACCATTGTACTCACTCAATGCACAGAGGGAGGGAAATGGTCTCATTTGATAGAAGTAATACCTACCTGTCAGCCTAAAGACTGTGGCCACTCTTATCCATCTGTCAGGTCAGGTAAGACTGCAATAACAAGTCATTTATAAATATACTCCCAGTTACAGACTTTCACTAAACASAGAAAACACATAAACATGTAAACTTTACATTTAAAGYCCATCGTAAGAATGGGTTTGTACATAAGTGAGCGAGTGCCAGGAAACTGAAGAAATTAAACCCATGGTCTTAATTATCAAGGGCAAAGCACCTTTTACTGCTGAGGATCTGTGTTGGCTTAGATTATATGTTGTCTAATATAAAGTTAAACATCCAACATGCTACAGTTTTATCATGTACAGTATATAAACTTTACTGTGTGGTCATTTTACATGGAAGAAACATTCAGAAACAACACTGAAGGCCAAAGATATGACGGATGTATTTTTTAAACAGCCAAATTTTATCTGTTGTGTGGAGAAAAGGATTATTAAAATATCTTATCACTTGAATAGACAGATATTTTTTGATTAAAATACTACAGTAAAGCATATCTCTTTTATTAATAATAATTTTACTAAACCTTAAAATGATAGAATACTAATCTAATAAATCTTCATCTGAGCATAAATGCACAAATTAAACATTAGAATTTAAGGGGAAAAGTTAAATTAAAAATCATATTTTATAAATTGGCCGTCAATATTCTCCACTTAGTGTCTCATCAGAGTTTTTACAAATCTATAAGAATTTTTAAGAAGTACAATTGTACAGAAATTAGTACTACACAGTGTACTCCACAATTTAACAGTGTATTTCAAAGTACTAAAACCTAACTTTTACAGTAAAACTACTAAAATCTATTATTTATAYATTGTATATAATGAAGACATAGTAAACACAAAATATATGTCTAATTTAAGGATAAAATGACTTGATATTAAAGATAAAAATGATTTTTGGATGATTTAGAATTATCCTACTGTCCACACAGAAGTGTCAAAATGCCTTACTACTACAATATTTAGTATTTTACGATTTTTACATCTACAGTTCACACTAGCTGAAAGTTACAAACTGTTTTTGAGGTGTAATATGAGAATTGTATTTTCATAACATTGTGATTAATTTTTACCAGTTTTTATCTGCTATAGCATTTTATTCAGAATTTAACATGTTTTTATACATCCTATCAAAAACCATTACTGAGGGCACCTTTTGTCTGGACAGAGGTGTGGAGGTTGTTTCCCTGCTGGATTTGATCACAAGTCCCTGCAGGGTGTCCAACAGGGTTTTTCCACTAAAGGTTCAAATGCTAAACCAGGCCTGGTGCTGGGGTTGATTCTTACCTGGTTCATGTTTGGAACCTGTGTTCCATATTCAGAGAGCCAACTTAGAGCTAAATCATTACATCACATTAAACATCTCTTCTAGTAAATGTTTGATCCARTTGGCTGTGCTCTGAGTTTCTGTAGAGGATCAAAGTGCAAAAAGACACTGGCCGTGTCTAATTCTTCAGTCTGTGATGGATTTCCAAACTAAACCAACTTGGTAAAAAACTTTAGCCATCTTTTCTTTTCTGTTTAGTTTGCTGACGGAGGGAAGAATCCTGGGATATCTGAGAAGGATGCACAGTTGCAGCCTTCATTTTATGATTTTCTGGGCGGCATGAGAAGGAGCCTACACACTGGGACTGCCTTCAGTGTGGGGCCGTGATGTAAGTGGCTGACAGATGCACATTCAGGAGGATGCAGACCCTGAACTGATGCTGCGCTCCTGTTGTATCRGAACTCGAAATCCTGAAGCCGGACTGACGTCAGTTCTGAGCTGATTGCATTCCAGTTTCAAACATCGGAAAAAGCGTTTCTATTATTTTGCTCTGCAACAATAAAACGTACAATAATAGTGCTCTACGAGGTATTTTGAGTGTACAAACAGTGTTAAAACAAATATTTTAACTAACACTATAAGTTAATACAAGTACGTCTGACGTAATGTAAAATAAACAACACAGAAGCTGCGTTTGTTTACATGCAAGACTAGAAACRTTAGCGGTTAGCTCCGACAAGAATGCTAGTACACTACATACATTAAACAAATWTAAAAAGGGAAAATAAACAAACAAATTACACTCGTTTTTATTCTGCCTCCTCTCTTACTTTCTGTCTGTTAAATAATGGGGATGGTGCTTGTGTACGTTTGATTACAGCTCAACATTAGCCGTTAGCTTAGAGAAACATGCRYGYRGCAGCCATGTTGAMAWSATGACGTAACACATGCTYGGGCTGCTCAGGTATGGTTTGGATGCACCGACCTCTCGACTCGAAACTACGACTTCAGGGGGCGTTCCAGTTGGAAAATAGAACTCGGAGGCTCGAAGCTACGACCTCCGAGGACAACTGGAACACAGCATGACACACAACCACTTTACACAGATCACAGGGTTTGTATAATTATTTCTGCAAACTAATATCTTTATACCATTAGTATTTTTTAGACGCTTGTAAACAACAGTTGCTGCTTTTGAATGTTTGTTACTAATCTCGAAGCATATTTGTAAATGCTGCTGCAAACAGAAACTGCAGTACTGACAACGTGTACATTTAAAGGGCCAATAATTATTCTAAATACAGCTCCAAACAGAGTTTATTCATCTGAAACCACTTTTGAAGGAGGTTATCGACCTACCTACTCACCCATTTATCTACCCATATAGCATGAGCCTGAACTCCCTCTGCTAGATAATTGCAGAATACCATTCCAAACTACTATCCATCACCTTTTCTATATAGATGACATCAAGCTGTATGCCAAAATGATCAAGACATCAAGGCACTGCTCCACTTCACCATGGTATGTGAAATGGACTTTAGAATGTCATTTGGACAGAATCAGTGCAGTGGAATAGTGTTCAACAGTGGCAAAGTAATCACAGGCGAAGAGGTTGAACCAACTGAAAGTCACTTTACAGATGTCCAGGACAGCTACAAACACCTTAGACTTCCACAGGTAGAAACCATGACGAGGCCTCTAGAAAGTCAGCCACAACCAAGTGCCTACAAAGAWTCAGATTGGTCCAAATGAACTCGTTTAATGGCAAGAACAAAGTTCAAGCCATCAACATGTCCGTCGATACCCTGCTGATAAAATATTCAATCAATGATAGCAGTTACTGACATCAAGACACAAAGCTTCATGGTTTCAAGTTCAGCACCCTGAGATACTGAAAGAAAGGAGGTGTGAGCATCAGAACCACTGTACAGGAGGAATAACCAACATCCTGGAGAACTTTAGGAAGAAAGCCTTTTATAATGAACTGGAAATGGAATAATAAGCCTTTGCCTGGTAGATATCAACAAATCCTAGCAGTCCTTAGGAAGGGCTTGACTGAAGGTCAGGGCAGGGCCACTGAACATGAAGAGCAGACTGTGCACACAACAGGAACTGTTGCTGGGTCTACTACAAAGACACAARGTGTGAAACAAAGCCATTTAGCTGATTCAGTACATGATAACAGGAATTAGGATCCAGGCAGGCAAAGCATATATGGAAGCCATAACCAAGTAGCTGTACTAGTGCACAGGAGAAGTTGTAGCAAATATYAAATGGAAGTCCCACAGTCCAAGTGGGAGACTCCAGCAAGGGTGGTGGAGATCCAGATCCAGACTGACAAACATGATAACAAACCCAGTTCAACAACTACAAAAGAAGGCAGTGATGATAGCTGTAGTGATGATGAACAACAGCAACATCAAGACAAAGAAGCAAGAGGAAGTGGAGAAATATCAAGGGCTGAAAGAAAAATGAGAGGTTTTGAAGAGTCATGGCCTCAGTGGGGCACTTAGTGCCGTGACCTGCAAACTTTAACACAGGCTCAACAAGGTTTATAGTATTTTCTAGTTTTATCCTTTTTTTCAAATTAGCCCTTTGATTGGTTCTGATTTCCATGATCCCAGCTCCTGGTGACAGCAGCTGTTTGCTCAGGCTCAGCAGTGGTGGTGTTGAGTTTACACAATGGTGCCAGAGCAGAGCTGAACTCTGGATCTGGGTTAGCACTGAAACCTGTTTGATGGAAAAACCCTAAGTGTCCTTGGGCACGACACCAAGCCTCACACTGGTCTCTATATGCTTTTTAGTGTGTGGCTTATAAAAGTGCTGTTTATTGAATGTGAAGGAGAAACGCCTTGTAAAGCACTGTCAGAGAGGTGCTATATACAGGAAGTGTGTATCTCTACTCGTTTTGCTTCAGTTAGCATGTGTGTCTGTATTTACAAAGTATATGTATATATCTATCTATCAATGTTTACCATTTTAAACGTGCAATCTGTCAGTGACCTGGTCAGACARCAAACATGTTGTTTTTATATCTTCATTTTTTGCTCAAGTGCCATTGAAAGACTTGTGTGTGTGAAGTCACAAAGATATTCTGTTAGCACAAGACTTGACCTGCTGAAGCTTAGATGGTGTAAAACTCAAGAAAGCACAGTTGGTGATAAAAGTGGACATTTATAAATTTATCTTTGTTATAGAGTTTATGTTTGATGTCAGTTTGCTTATTGTTTTTCTAGATGTGGGCCTAAAGATTTAACTTAGGTTCATTCTGAAGCTAATGACGCTTATAAACATGTCTGCTGACATGCTTTTATTACAAGTTAAGACATATTTTGACTTTTCTTATATAGCAGAAGTTTTTTTAAGGAAACCGTTGAATGTAACAGATATCTTAAGTTTGTTTTGAGCTGAAACATCTCGTCTTTGGGCCCAAACACAAAACTTGGACACATYGGATGGAGAGCTTTCGTTTGAGGCTTCTGCTCAACAGGACACCATGGGATTAACTGGGATTAATGAAAATCTAAGGACTGTGATGAACCAACCTGACTTTGGTGGTCCCCCTCTGAAGACCCTGAGCAGGATAATGCCTGTGTYGTGGTGCCCATTGATCTAAAAGAAATGAGTGTGGAGTTGAAGGAAACAGACAGAAGTGTGAGTGTGAGAAGGTTAAAATAATCTGGAGCAACATCATCTTCATCAAGAGACACAACTATTATTTTAGGTTTTTTCTTTTGATATTTACCAGTGTAATATTTATTCATCAAAGTTTCTGGCGACAGTGATTGGTTGTGATTTTGGAATGTTGATTCAGAAGTTCTGCTCTGTTGCTCATCGTATAGTACTTATATTTTATGGGAATAGTGTGTTTGAAGGTAAAACTTTCTACTCGGATAAATATAAAATGTCCAACAATGTTGTTTCAGAGTTGTGTTAACTTTGTGTTATGGGAAGTTTATAAAAACCTGTGTTTGGTGCTGGTTCCTCAGACACACATTTACAAAGAAAACTAAGCAGTTTTGTTTTTCCAAGTATCACCTGCTGCCTTTCATCTGTTAAGATCCTGAAACTGTACAGTATGTTATGAAACGATGAGGATGGGATTGTTTTGGTTAAACCTTGTAAATAACATTATCTGTGATCTCATCCAATATAAGTTCCTGTGAGATGTGTTGGGAATGACTTTCAGCTACATCACATTTTAATTCAGCATTTAGAACATGAACTCAGTTATAGTCAGAGTCTTTGTTTCCTAGAGTAGCTGTGTTTTATATATTACAGGAGTCCCTAACCACTAATATTGACATTTTCTGTCTTCATTGGTGTATTAGTCTTCAGTCCACATCCTGTAAATACAGTATTTTTATAATGTATCCTACACTTAGTGTTGAATTGATACAGCTAAACTATGAACAAAACTTATTTAAGATTCTGGAAACAGAAAAAGATATTCTGATAATAACCAGTGACAAACAGTTGGCCTCATGTATTCTAAACTGATGTTAGTCTCTGGGAGATGAGACGGCACAGGCCCAGGGTGCCAGGAGATTTGGCAAACATCTTCTCCTCTTCCTCCTCCTCACTTTGTGTTGTTAGAAACTATCCTGTTGTTTTCAAACGATGGTTCTGATGTGGTGAAGTCTCACTGTGTCAGCTGATCTTTGAGTTGATTTTCATTGGCTGCCGTTTGTAAAGTTACAGTCAAAATTTACCACCAATATTTTTGTTTTATTTAACCTTTTATAAGAAAAAAAGAACAGATTTATTTTTCAGTCAGTTTTTCACCATATGATTCA